TGTAAATTTTGGTCAAGGACATGAGACAAAGTATATGTGAACTGCTGTGTGAAAAGTGAATTTGCTCTGTAAATCTTCACCCAAATCCTAATAATAATAATAAAAAAAAACCACCCCAAGCACTGGACAGTCAGTCCCCTGGCATCCCTGTTCATCTGTACCCATGCCCTCATTATACTGAACTGTCATTATCTGTCAGTCTCTCTCCCTAACTAGTGTCTTTGCATTCACAACACCTCATGTAAGAAAGACATTCAATAGACATTTGATGAATAAAAGATGAAACGAAACAAAACATTTAGAATATCAACATGCCATAGAATATTCTCTATCACATAAACAGTAAAGGAAGCTTTGGCATTTGCAAAAGATCTGTCTGGAGCCCTTTGCAAATTTTCAATTTTACAATCCCCTTCTAAAATGCACAGAAGCCAGTCTTGCCCTTGCCTTTTGTACTTCCAGAGCCTTCTAGCCCTACCGGGTCATGTGAGGCTGTGACTTCAGATAGATCTCAAGGCTGACAAGGCTGCAGGCAAACAAGAACACTCCTATGTGGCAGGTGGTACTGGTTAATTAACACCAACCTTCTTTGAAAATGTGGCTATGAGAGCCCTAAAAACGTCAGCCTTTGACCTAGGCCTCCCACTTCTTAATGAACTAACTCAAAAGAAAAGAGGAAAATTATAAGAAGAACGTTGTTTTATGGCAGTAAAACCTGTAATAGTGAAAAGTCAGAAAACAAAAACCAAATGTTTGACAACAGGGAAAAATATTGGTAGGCAATTCAATGAAACATGATCATGTCAGTTAAAAGAAGAGAAAGTGGCTTATGTTTCAGTGTTTGTTTTAGGGAAAAAGTAGAGCAGGAAATCATATAAGTACAATACAAATAAAGACTGAAAGCGACCACATAAAAACATAAAGAGCTGTGTTTGGGTGGTAGAATTATGAATGTAATTTCTTTTCATTTGCTATTAAAAAAAAAAACCCACCAAACTCACTGCCACTGAGTCAACCCTGACTCATAGGGACCCCTCCTTGGGTTTCCAAGGCATTATTTCTAGGGAAGTAGATTGCCCAACCTTCCTTCCGAGGAGTGGCTGATGGGTTTGAACCGCCAGCCTTCTGGTTAGCAGTCAAATGCCTTAGGCACTATGCTACCAGAGCTCCCTCATTTGCTATATTTACTTTTAAATAAGTGGCCTGGGCTTCCCTGCAAAGCTGGACTTGTCACTATCTGCTAGGAAATGGCATACCACCTGCTACAGCCTTAGTCTTGGAGTATGCCACACCTAGGGGACCCCACTAGGCTCTGTCATTCATGTGCACCAATTGAGAGGTCTTGGGAGAAACGTGAAGGCCATTGGGAGTTAGTCAGTGATGGGGAGAGCAAAGATGATTTCTATGTGTTTAAACACTGAGATGGATAATTTAAGAATTAAATGCAAGAGAGTGCAGATACCCATCTGTTTCTTAAATCTACATCCTGGCAATGCCAGAGCATAATTCTAAAATTAGATGATCTCAAATGCCAGGTGTTCCACTCCATCTGCACACAGGTTAAGGGTGGCTGGCTGGTTCACAGATGAGATGTGAAGCTGAGAGGGGTGAGGTGACTTGTCCAAAGTCACAGAGTCAGAGATTGCTAAGACAAAAGCCACCACTCGTCTGCTAACTGGCAAACGTGCACATGCTTTTGAGGTTTAGAACATTCCCAATACAGTGTCTTGCTATTTGACACAGCCACTGCAGCTTATACCACAACTCAACCCAAACCTGTTGTCTGCTGGGGCCTCACTTCCCTACTCCTTGGAAAGCCCTTCAAAGGAACATCAGGAGGGTCAGCTAACCTCTGGAGTCTTGGTATCACCTATTCAACTAAGGACTGATAAGTCTTCCTCCACTGTTTGGCCAGCATAAGGCCACCTCATTCACATTCTGGCTGTCTGCATAGGCCATGTGGACTTAAGCCTTGGCTCTGCCACTTCTGGGCTATAGGATCTTGCCAGTGACCTGGCCTCTCAGTGTTCTTGTCAGTAAAATGGGGATAATAATTTCTGTATGTACATAGAGTAAAGCATTTTATGTACATAATGAGGAGCTCTGGTGGTGCAGTGGTTAAATGTTCAGCTGTTAACAGAAAACTTGGGGTTGGAATCCATGGGTTGCTCTGCAGGAGAAAGATGTGGCAGTCTGCCTCTGTAAAGATTTACAGCCTGGGAACCCTAAGGGGCAGTTCTATTCTGTCCTAGATGATTGATATGTATCAGAATCCACTCAATGGCAATGGGTTTGGTTTTGCTTTAGTACATAATAACCATTATTATTAAGACATTTCTCCCATCACAGTCTTTGTGAGGAATTAATAAAATGACAAATATGAAGTACCTATTAAATATTTGGCTTATAGTAGATGTTCCTCAAATAAAAGCCGTAACAATAAAGGTGTCAAGCAGCACAAATGCAATAGATTTTCCCCAGGAAAGGGCTTCACAGAGTTGAGGATGTTCGTTCTTCCCCTCCAGATCCTCGGGGGTAGCCTCTTCCCCAGCGCGTGTCCCTACTTCTGCTCCTAGTCAACCTCCCATATGCCTGGAAATTACCCAAACGCCAGCTATTTCTTCCCTTTGATCTCCAGCGTCCAACAAAAGCCAGGCCCTTGCCCTCCCCCTTCAGCAAGCCCACCCCTCCTCTAGCTCAATTTCAGGAGAATGGAGGTAACTGAGGCCACAACTGACTTCTTCTCTGGGCGGACCTTGGGTCTGGTGGGTGTTACCCTCTGGGGCCTGTGGGCGGGTGCCCAACTGTCCCCGCCCACACGTCTGTGCATCCTTACTCACAGCTCAAGGATGAGCACCACGTCGGTACGGTTCTCATAGACGTCGTGCAGCGTGATGATGTTGGGGTGCAGCACCTGCCGCAGGATGCTCACCTCCCGCTCGATCTCCTCCCGACGCACGCCCCGCCTGCTGGCCCGACTCTGCCGCTTCTTGATGAACTTGGCTGCGTACTCGAGTCCAGTGCTCTTCTCCCGGCACTTTTTTACGATGGCGAACTGGCCGCTTTGGAGACACAAAGCCATACAATTAGGGCGTCACTGAGGCTATCAGGGAAGTGATGTGACTGTCAGCCACCAGGGCACCCTAAGTCAGAATCATTGTGTCAGGGCAGGACAAAGCATGCCGCCAACCTGCAACCTGGTACCAATGAGTGATGGAGATGGGGCAGGTAAAGGACTTCTGTTCCTAGGAATCCCTTACGTTTTACTCGGGGTACTCCTACTGTATAGCTGTGAACATTGAGACCCTGAATGTTTATTGGTTTGATCGGGATTACATTGCCTTGTCACTCCAAAACCTCAGCTAGAACCCAAACCTAGTATCCATGAGAAGAAATCACAATGTCCATATGTTTATACTGTGTAAAACCAAAACCAATCCCAATGTCACTGAGTCGATTCTGACTCATAGTGACGCTGAGACAGAGTAGAACTGCTCCACAGGGTTTCCAAGGCTGTAAATCTTTACAGAAGCAGACTGCCACATCCTACTCCTGCAGAGTAGCCTTTGGGTTGGAACTGCCACCTTTTTGGTTAGCAGCTCAATGCTTTAACCACAGCACCACCAGAGCTCTTGTTGTATAAAGAAAAGATTAAGAAAAGGGGGGGAGCAGATTAAAAAATCAGTGTCAAAATACTAACTGCCAACCAGAATTCTGGCGATTCAAACCCACTAGCCACTCCTCGGAAGGAAAAGGGGGCAATCTACTTCTGTGGAGACACCTCCTCAGAAACCCAAGGAGGTGTGGCTATGAGTCAAAATTGACTCGACAGTAGTGAGTGAGTTCTATCTCTATAGATTTGACTATTCTGGACATTTTGCGTAAATGGAATCATACAATATATAGCTTTTGGGACTGGATTCTTTCACTTAACATAATTTCAAGGTTCTTCCATGTTATAGCATGTATCAGTACTTCCCTCATTTTTATGGCTGAATAATACTCCATTGTATGGGATATGCCACATTTTGTTTATCCATTCATCAGTTGATGGATATTTGGGGGGAGCTCTGGTGGCATAGTGCTTAAGGCATTTGACTGCTAACCAGAAGGCTGGTGGTTCAAACCCACCAGTCACTCCTTGGAAGAAAATTGGGCAATCTACTTCCATAGTGATACTGCCTTGGAAACCCAAGGAGAGGTTGCTATGAGTCGGATCCGACTCAACGGCAGTGAGTTTGGTTTTTTTCATTTCCACTTTTTGTTTATTATGAATAACGCTGCTATGAACATTTGTGTACAAGGCACACAAATGTGTATGTGTGAACATATACTTTCATTTCTCTTGAATAGGAGAGGAATTGCTAGATGATATGGTAAGTCTATGTTTAACCTCTGAGGAACTGCCAGACTGATTTCCAAAGAGGAAATTTTACACCACTGACAATGTATAAGAGTTCCAATTTTTCCACATTCTTTCCAAACATTACTTATTATCTGTCTTTTTTCTTTTTTTTTAATCACAGACATCCTACTGGATATAAAATAGTATTTCATTGTGTGCTACATGTTTTCTTGTCACCCACTGCTTGGATTAGAACTCAGAAAGTTTTATGCTTCAGCTTAAAAGCTTAATAAGGGGGTCTCCAGACTCTAAAGCAAAGATGTACTCTCTAAGTGGCTCTGGAGTAAGAGTCACACAGTGAGAGACTGTGGATATTTGCCCCCAACTCAGAAAATAGCATCACATGTGGACCACTCCATTATTAGAATAATCCTCAGTGAGAGAGTCTCTAAAATAAACCTGAGTGACAACAACAACAACAAAAAAATCAAGCCAAGCAAATAAGGGATAAATACACCAACAATAGCATTCTATAGCAACCACCTTAGAAAGTCACTGAACACATCATATTCATGTCTCTTTCCATCCCCTCATCCTTCCATTCATTCACCACTGCCTGAACATCTCTGTGCTAGGGTATGAGCTGGGTAGTAGTGAACAAGGGGAAAGGTACAGAGAGAACTCTGAGGAAAGAGAGGTCTCTAGGCTGGGCAGGGAAGTCTTTGTGGAGCCAAATTTATATTGCATTGTCACTAATTAAAGTTTGAGCTATTTAGGACCCAAATATTGGCTCTGAGCTGTCCACACATTAGGGTCTGACGCAGGTGGAGTGAAGCCAGTTGTCCCAAAGCCAAAGTGAACACATCCAGTGTACTCTCTACCACAGCTAGTCACTTGGAGCCAGTTTGGACCTCAGGGACATCAGGTTCCTTAGTAGGTGCCAGAAAACTCTTGACAAAAGCTTCCAGTTCCAGCTGACCATCAGTCTCAGCATCAGGATGACCTCTATTACCTTGTCTTTAGGTATCTGGGATATCTCATGGGTGTGGCATTTTGCAATTCCTACAGCTTCTTCAGGGGCTCTGGTGGCGTAGTGCCTAAGGCATTTGACTACTAACCAGAAGGTTGGCTGTTCAAACCCACCGGCCACTCTTTGAAAGGAAAACCAGGCAATCTACTTCTGTAAGGATACTGTCTCGGAGAACCCACTGGACAGCAGTGAGTTTGGTTGGTTTGGTTTACAGCCTTTTCATAGCAGCCCTGAGGGCAAATGAGTCTTGCTCTTTCTACTTGACCCTCAGGGAAACCAAAGCTTGAGAATTTTAAGTCATGTGTTTAAGCTTCCAGAGCACATAGGCTGAGATGCAGGGTTTGGTTTAGCACTCAGATTCCATAGCTCCCAGCCCCACATTCTATTGACAATGTCTGGACTTGACTGCTTGGATGAAAGGGGCAGAGTTTTTGTGAAGCCGAGCTAAAAATTTCAGGTCATCTTAACAGAACTTCCACTTTGTCTTCCGAGGGAAAAGGAGATATTTTTCTATTTCACATGCCTGGAAAATTCCTCAAACTCTCAAAAAGCAAATGAGTGCTTGCTTTCCCTGTCTGAGTTTTCTCTTTGTGAGAGCAGCTGTGGCAGTGAGAGGTGACTGGGGGTCAGACTTAATGTGCAAGGTCTTCCTCCTGCCAAAAGAAGGTATTTTGAGAGTGGGTGACTAAGACAAAGCCAAATACCAGGCCACATAGCTCATCTCTCCTCCTTCCCAGGGGAGAGATTCTCTATTCAGTGGGCTTGGGGAAGCCTCCCAAAGGGCCAAGTCAGCTTGCTCATTTTCCCGTTTCCTCAGGCAGTTACTTAGAAGAATAGCAAACACTCTTCCCTAGGGCCAGCCCTCAGGTCACAAGGCTTTGGACATTGAGAGCAGGCTTCAAGGTCAGACTAACCTGGCCTTAGGGACTTATACTGCCACCTTGGGAAAGTCCCTGATTTTCTGAGCATCAGTTTCTTCATCTATAAAATGGGAATCCTGGTTCCTTACTAGGGAATTAATTGTGAAGACCGGAAATATATGTACTATAATATGATGTTGTTGGTGTGTGCCATCAAGTCAATTCCAATTTATAGTAACCCTATATGACAGAGTAAGGAGCTCTGATGGTGTAGCGGGTAAGGCAGTTGGCTGCTAACCAGAAGGTTGGCAGTTCAAACCCACCAGCTGCTCTGCAGGAAGAAGATGAGGCATCTACCTCTGTAAAGATTTACAGCCTTGGAAACCCAAAGGGTGTCACTATGAGTTGAAATTGACTCGATGGCAGTGTTTTTTCTTCTTCTTGTTGTTTTGTTTTTGGTGTATATGACAAAGTAGAACTGCCTCATAGGGTTTCCTAGGCTGTACTCTTTGTTGTTGTTGTTATGTGCCATCAAGTCGGACCAACTCATAGAGACCCCTCCTTGGGTTGCTGAGGCAGTATCACTACAGAAGCAGATTGCCCCATCTTCCTTCTGAGGAGTGGTTGGTGGGTTTGGACCTCCAGCCTTCTGGTTAGCAGTCAAGTGCCTTAGGCACTATGCTACCAGAGTTCCTAGGCTGTACTCTTTGAGAGCATATTGCCAAGTCTTTTCTCCTGTGGAGTCATTGGTTGGTTCAATACACAAGAATTACCTGAGGATATTGTTAAATGTAGATTCTGATTCAGTATTTCTGCAGTAGAAATGCAAATTCTCAGCAGGTGGCCAACCAGAATGAACCAGTTAGAAGCCCTGGTTCAAGCTGCTGACCTTCAGTTGGCAGTCAACTGCTTAACTATTGTGCCAGAAGGGCTCCTATATAATATACTAAACCAAACCAAACTCACTGCCAACAAGTTGACTGGACTCATAGCAACCCCTCCTTGGGTTTCCGAGGCAGTATCTCTAGGGAAGTAGATTGCCCAACCTTCCTTCCGAGGAGTGGCTGGTGGGTTTGAACCTCCAGCCTTCTGGTTAGTAGTCAAATGCCTTGTTGTTGTTGTCATGTGCCATCGAGTTGGACTGACTCATAGCGACCCCTCCTTGGGTTTGTGAGGCAGTATCACTACAGAAGTAGATTGCCCAATAGCTACGATAAATGGTAGCTATTATAACTGTTAAGAGCCATGGTGGTGCAGTGTTTGAAGTGTTTGGCTGCTAACCAAAAAGTCAGAGGTTTCTCCACAGGAGAAAGATGTGGCAGGCTCCTTCCATTAAGGTTTATAACCAAAAAATGAAACTCACTGCCATCAAATTGATTCCGACTCACAGCGACCCCCATTGGGTTTCCGAGGCAGTAAATCTTTGTGGAAGTATATTGCCCAATCTTCCTTCTGTGAAGTGGCTGGTGGGTTTGAACCACCAACCTTCTGGTTAATAGTCAAATGCCTTAGGCACTAAGCCACCAGAGCTCCTTTCCATAAAGGTTTACAGCCTTGGAAACCCCATGGAGTAGTTCTACTCTGTCCTGTAAGGTCTCTATGAGTTGGAATAGACTCAGTGGCAGTGAGTTTGGTTTGCTTTTTTTGAGGAACTTTAAATATTGCCGGTGCCTGGGTCCCACCCCCAGGGATGCTGAGTTCCTGGCCTGGGCTGCAGCCTGGGCATCTGATATTTTAAAGTTCCCAGGATGATTCTGACGTGCAGCCAGGGCTGAGAACCTCTCTTACAACAGCTCTCTGATTATCCCCACTTTACAGAAGAAGAAA